AAGCAGATTTGGTTTGATTTGACTCTCTACGGTTCTTTTGTGCACAATTATGCTAATTAGACCGGGCACTACAATTTAACGTGGATTCCGAACAACTTACAACCATTCATGCCCTTCATGCGGCTGATCTGCTTCTACACATTTGATAACGATAGGTCTGGGGACTGAATGGCCGAATGGCTAGCTCTCTGGCGCTCGGTAGCACAGGTTTCGAGTCCCGGCTGTGCCATGGATGTTTGTAGTGGTTCGGAATTCACTTTAAACCGTAAGTCCCGGTCTAATAGGATCGTAGAGCGTTGCGGGGGCATTGTTACTCCACGTCCGTGACTTATCTTCAAGTTACATGCGCCCCCTGGATAAAGCAAAGTGAGTAACGTCTGTGCAGCGCTTGACTTAAGGCATCCAAGACAGCTGTCTAAATGTTTGCGAGATGCGTTAGGAAAAAAAAATAGCGATTAAGGTGGTGTCAAAGAAAAGGATCAAGAGGTATGAAATAAGCAATTGAAATGATTTGGTGCCTCATCATACTAAAAATAGAGTCAGAGGAAACTGTTGGAAAATTATCCATTATGTTCGGAAACTTCACTTCTTATAAAATAAGATAACTAATTTTGCCGAGAAAGTAGGTAAGAACCAATCAAAATCGTTGATAACGTTATGGTGACGTTTATGTTGAATTTGCATTCACTTGAGACACGCAAACTCCTTGGATTGTCATATATCCACAGTTGAATGTTGTGCACTTTCAGGGATTCTTCGTGTGAAAAGGTCATTTAATCAATAAACAGAATCCACATTTGATACCATTGGCTTCAAGTCCGAATCTTGGCGGTGACATGGATGTTTGTTAATGGTTGGGAATCCATATTGGGAACTGTAGGTCCCAGTCTAATTAATAAAATTTGCAAAAAAAATGACAGTACAGAGACAAGCCAAACCACGTTTGAATTTGGGTTCTACGTCACCTTTGTTCAAATATAAACGTGTGATTGTAATAGCGATCGTTAGCTCGTTTCTGGACATTACTTACTGAGTAAAAATTCTACGTTATAGTTTATTTAAAAAAGGGGCTTTTTAAATTGTTTAAATCTTTAAATTGTATAATATTCAAATTTTTCATATTTTTAAGCCATCGAAAAAGTTTCTAAAAATTGAGATATCTTAAGATATCATCTAAAGTTCTAAAAAAAAACTAATCTTTATTGAGATGCGTGTTATAAAAAAAGTAAAAGGTCCAAATCATCCACCTATTATACTCTGCTACCTATTTTAGGTAGAAAATTAACACAAGTTACAAATTAAATATTTTATTTGCTATATGATTTGAAATATGTATGTAATAAAGTAACATTTACATAATTATTTAATGTTAAATTATGTCTCAAATAAGATATAACCAAAGATTTAAAAACTAAACTAAACTTTAATGACATATTTATATATGAAAAAATTAAAAGTCTAAATCATCCATCAATTATACAGCTGCTACCTGTTTTAGCAAGAAAATTAACAGAAATTACAATTTTAATATTTTACTTGATATATATATTTTGAAATATGAATGTAACATTTACATAACTATTTAATGTTAAATTAAATTATAAATAGTTATTATAAGATTAAGTTGATTAATCACAAGACTTAATTTTTAATTTCTTTTAAATGATTGCAAAGAAAAAAGTTGAAAATTTTATATGAATATTTGAAGTATATTATCAATATAAAAATTTCAAAACCTTTAAGAAAGAAAGATTGAAATCCTTCGTATTGGGTTATATTATGTCGTACTCGATATATATGTGTCAAATACACTATTGATTTATTGAAAATAATACATACAATTTAGAATGCATTTTATTAATTAATATAAAATCGAGGCATTTTAAATAAACACATAAATTGAAGTTTTGAAGAGTTTACTTAGTGTGCATTGATAGAGAGTCAGTTTATGTGTGCCATAACATAATTTACATATTGATTGCTGAAGTAAAGGTACATTGAAATAAATTGGAAGTTCTATTAAAACCATTATTAATCTAAAACTGGAAGTATAATAATAATAAACCATTCATAATGGAGGTGAATATCGCAGTGAAATCAAATACATCCTCAATACAATTCAATAAAATTTAACAATACGATAAATCTTCAGATAACTGATGGGTTCAGATTTCTAGTTCCCGCGGGGACTTGCTGTTGGTATGAAAGTTGAGATTTTGCATGATTAATGAAACAGGATGCTCAAATTTGACGCATATGATTTAACTTTATTGCCCAAATTTTATGAATTATACTGAATTATAAATTAAGATTTGATTTATTGATTTTCAAAAGAAGAATTTTTTCGATTGCAACCCTTATCCTAGAAAATATTTTTCTGAATCAATAATTGTCTTGAGTTGAAGAGATCATTTTGCAATCGAAACAATTCTGATTTTCTCTAAATGTTAGTAAAGTCCAATTATCTGATATTAATGTAATCTAAGATTATTTAATGAGTGCTATCTTGTATTCTACAGTGTCCACTCTGATAATGAAAGCAAATAGCAAATTACTACTTCTTTCTTTCTACAATAAAAAAGAAATTTTCTTAATTGTTAAAAATATTTATACAAAAATGTCTATTAGAATACTTGTACTAAATATATTTATTATAAAACATTCGCACCTGTAAAGTAGGTCTTTGATTAAGAAAAGTTGTTTAAAACCGTATATGGAGTTTTTTTTTTTTTTTTTTTGTTGTGAGGAGAGAGTCGACATTTTTCCAAAGTGATACCCTTGTGGTTTCGTGAATCATGCCGTGGTATAATTACAATCTGCCGTAGACTAGGCAATAAAATTCGACGTTGACTCGAGAACTCTGAAAATCCAAAACTTTGGAGTGAACGGCTTGTGTGATTTAATCGTGCATTTGTGAATCAAATCTAAATCTTTAATTTTCTTTTTTTGTAAATAATAATTTATAATAATCCAGAGTTCTATATCTCTGTATATATATATATATATATATATATATACCGCTTGTAAATAAAATCAAAGTTTTCCCATGAACTTGAAAGTGCCCCTCTTCTTTAAACTGTTATAAGCCATGACGTTTGAACAGTAATCATTTTACTAATTGTATTTATCCTTGTCAAGCCCTTTCCTGGCCAATTAGACTGATAAATTTGCACCCAATAGAATGCATTTGACGTTTGCTGAGCAAATACTATGATCTACTAAAATAATTACGCAATTGCAGAGAGATTGACAAGAAATCTGACAGGAAAATTATCGACAACTATATAAATCAATAAAGCTAAGCAACAGCTTACGTAATGATAGAGGTCCATTTTATTTAAATTCATAAAAATCCGTTTCAATCAAATTCATAAAAATTAAATTTCACTACGAATGTGTTAGAAATGCCAATAGATTTGAAACAGTACGAAACAAAAGAATAAAATCCAAAATTAATTATGCAAACGTTTTGACATTTTTCATTTAAGCATATTATTTTACTGGCATTTATTTTTAAAAATGTCAATGTCCAACATTATTAGAAGTTTACCACTTAAGATAAGGGAACATCTTTTAAAGAAAACTCTTAACGACAACCTTAATTGGGAGAAATTAAAATGTAATTTTCTCTTAATTATATTTTAATGACATGTATTTCTTGCTTACTTTCATTTTAAGAAAGGAAGATGGGAAATAAATTTGTAACTAAGCAGTATAAATAAATATTCTGAAGCAACTGTTGTTTACAATTTAGATTGCAGAATTTAAAGCTATTTTATTTTATATCGATATATAATTTAATATTTGTTTTCAGAAATATTTGTTTAAGAAAAAAGAAATATAAATATACGAAAATATTTGTTTTAAGAAAAAAGTTTTAAAAATTGTTTATTAAAATTAAATAAAGTTGATATAAAATAAGAAGAAATAGTTTTGTTAAATTAGTTAAAAGAGGTATTTTCAAATTCAAAAAAATGTTTTAATAATAGCGGTATCTTTAAAACGGGTTAAAATACAAATGTTATTTGTATAAAGTAAAAATAAATCTTTATATTTGTAAAATATTAATAAAAAAAGATAAGAAATGTATTGAAAAGTCAAAAATAAACAGTACAAGTTGAGAATAGGTTATTATAAATAAAAATACCTTTTTTCTATTTATTAATTTTTTTCTTACAAGTAAAATACAAATACTGCATGAATAAATATTCAAATATGTATTTAAATATCCTTAAGACATACGAGTTTCAATGTCCTAAGGGTTATAACATAAAAAGGAATTTAAAAATTTAAAAACCAACGTTGGAATTTTTTGTAGCATTTTAAAGAAATAATTACTTTTCTGAAAAAAATTCCAAAAGAAAATTAGTAATGTATTTTAAGTATTTATAGTAAAAAAAAAATAATTAGAGACTTTTTTTTTCATTTGTTTTTATATATTTTGAGTAATAAGACAATCTTTATAATTTTTTTAAAATTACAATGGACAAAATCCTACTTGTGAATATTTTGATTTATCAATTTGATTAGTCAAGAATAGTTCGATATTAATGTGTTTGTTCTCCTTTCGTCTGATAATGAGTCATTCTCAAGTTAAAATTGTTCGCTGAACTGTTATTATTGTATTTAAGAAACATCTGCCAACGGCCGTACCATGCTGAATATACCGGTTCTCCGTTAGATCACCGAAGTCAAGTCAGTCGGGGGGTGAGGAATGAGGCACCAATGCCTTAAAGGCTTACAACCTCAAGTACTAATGTGATAAGGTGTGGCAAGTATTAAAAAGATAACATGAGCATAAGAAAAATGACTTGAAAACGGATTAAGAACCGGTACACGCAGCATGGCACCCGTAAGTTAACAACCCATGGAACAAGATGAAAGCTACCAACTATGAAAGCTTTATGTGCAAAAATCCCATAAAACTTTATTGAAAAACAGACATACACAATAATACAAAAATGATCACACTCAGGTGATTGGGATAAAGTGTAGTAATGGACCACCGAAGTCAAGCATCATTGGGCGCGGTCAGTACTTGGGTGGGTGACCACCTGGGAACACTGCGTGCCGTTGGCAAATTTGGGACCTGAATGGTCAAGTGTCTAGTGCTCGGTGCCACAGGTTTCGGGTTCGAATCCCGGCGGTGCCATGGATGTTTGTAGTGGTTCGGAATCCACTTTAAGCCGTAGGTCCCGGTCTCCTATGACTGTAAGAGCGTCACGGAGCCAAAGTCAGGCTTCTACCTACGGGTGCTCCATCACCAACAGAAGCTGCTTCCTTCCCCTTCAATCATGAGTACATATGGGCTCGTGGGCTTGGCCAGCCAAGTGGGATAAGAAACAACAACAGAAACATCTTTTTTTCATTAAATAAATAAAAATTAAAATACACCTTAAAATAAAAAGGCAGCCAATTAAAATTTGAAAAACCTAATCAATTATTTAATTAAATTTATCATTAGTAATATGGGCAGCAGGCGTCTTTCATTTAATTACTTTTTTCCCATTTTTCTGTACATTGGTGAAACTTACAGTCATGTTCCACCTATATTAACCACGAACAGCTCAAACGAAAGGGAATGAAGAGAGGGGATTGCTTACTGCGTGTATTTTTTTAAAGTAAATGGTCCACATATGCAAGTCGTATGTGAGAAAAATTTCTTATCAGGCAGATTTATTATATATATATATAAAAACTTTCTTTTACCTTTTTAAGGACAAAACAGAAAAATGCACCTGAGAACCGATTGTAATATATATATTGAAAAGCAAAAATCCCGGTTTCAAAATGGCAGAAACAACCTTATATAGAAAAAAAATCATACTATTCCCAAAAACACCAACATAAAAGCTCTCTATCTATATCTATAAAAAATCAAACAACTTTTGATTTCGTTTTGGTTTGGTTTTGGTTTCGTAGCGAAAATCTCCGTATGATTGTGCAGTCGTACGGAGATTTCGTGGTTTTTCCAAAAAACCACGCTGACAGAAGTATTGCACAGTCATACGGAGATTTTCGCTACGGAACCAAAACGAATCCAAATACATCAATACTCTATAACCATACATAAAAAGAACTACCTTCCCTACTCTCAAATATTAAAACTATTTATAATACTAGACCTGAGCAAAAATTTATAATACTAAACCTTCTCCCTCTATGATTTTCAATAAAGTAATCTTGTAATAAAGGGGAGAAAAAAATTTCCCCTTCTGTTTGGTAATTAAATTTAATTAATGAATTAATCCCCTTCTGTTTGGTTCAATAATATTTCCCTTAATCTACCAGGTACAAAGAATAATTAAGTGAACTTATAAATTCGGGTACAAAAATTATCATAATATAAAAAACAAGTAAAAAAAAAAAAAATAAAGTCAATTCCTATTTTTTTTTTTTTTCACTTTATTGCAGAAAGTCCTTTATAAATAATTTTCATTCATTTTTTTAAGTTTATTTGCCGCCATCTATTGGTACATATATATCCAACTTAAATCTAAAAAAAAACTAAAATTAATTAATTAAATTTAATTAATGAATTAATATTTGAAAAACTGTATTCACATCAAGTGTCTTCCACTACAAGTTTCAAAAAATGCATTTGAACTTGAATGGAGAAATAAAAAGTATTTTATGAACGATTGAAAATTTGAATAAGATATATATAGGGAAAGTGTGAGGGAATTGAAAAAATCGTATGCAATACTATGATGAAGCAACAAGTTGATTGAAAATCAGACCAACGCTTAACTGCCACTCTATATCTGAATCAATATACTAATGCCTATTAAAAAAAATGAGAAGAATCCAAGAATTTGGCGAAGGAAACTTAGTCATAAAAGCTCGGAAGTTGAGGAAAAAAACATAGATAAATATATATATGAATGGCATAACACTTCTGAAAAGATAATAAACAACTCATCGTAACAGAGTGAACCTATTTACTCCAAAAGACGCTAAGAAATAAAAAAAAGGAAACATTTAGGAATTGAAACTGTCAAATACCATATACGAACCGATTTCAATAACAGTGATATATAACGGCACAATTACCTTGTACAAAGAAAAACAGGCATAAAATGGCTACCGAATTTGATCTACCTCAAACACAACCCATTTGAAAGAAAAAAGTGGTCCCCAAAAGAAATCCTCTAAAGGAGTGCATTCGAAACCCCAAACAATAAAACTTACAAAATTCGAACAGAAGGGCGTTGCGCGAACGTTGGTCAATTCCTCTGACGCCAGAGGCAAACCTACAATGAAGTAGTAACAACATAAATTTAAGGCAAACGACATCTCATTCTATGCTCCCTTCTTGAAGATGATCGCTATCTATGGACGGAGGGGGCATTCCTCTTCTCAACTTTCCCAGTCGGAGACCAGTAATAACAATAGTCACGCCACATAAAAAAAATGCAGGAAGATCTCGCGATGCACACATGTCAGCAGTTTCAATTCTCGTTATAACATAAAATATATATTAAATAAACACATCATAAAGTATTATCAAATATATACTATGATTATCACAGAAAAAAAAATTATTTATAAAAAAAATCTAAAATGTAGAAGACATTTATACAAAATTAATACATAAAAAATATTAAATATGTATATATAAAAAATAAGGATCTAATTGGCATTATAAAAAAAAATTTCACTTTATAAAACATTCAAAGATAAAAAAATATAATCCATAGAAATTATCTATAGAAAGTTAATGATTAGAAAAAAAAAAAATATGTCATCCAAAATAAAAAAAAAAATATTTTGAATATATAAGTGAATGGCGAAGCTCATCACAAAAATTAAAAAAATATATACAAAAGGAGGTCTTCAAAAAAATACCATTATTTTAAAAAAAAAAGTAAAGATATATAAGATATTAATTATAAGAAAAAAGCATTGGAATATTTTTAATATCTATATATATATATACAAAAACATTTAAGAAAATGAAGGTAAACACTTATTTTCGCGAAAATAAAAACCAATTTTATAGAATATATATATATATATATATATATATATACAAAAACCTTTAAGAAAATGAAGGTAAACACTCATTTTCGCGAAAATAAAAAGAATTTTATAGAATATATATATATATATATATATATATACAAAAACCTTTAAGAAAATGAAGGTAAACACTTATTTTCGCGAAAATAAAAAGAATTTTATAGAATATATATATATATATATATATATACAAAAACCTTTAAGAAAATGAAGATAAACACTTATTTTCATGAAAATAAAAAGAATTTTGTAGAATATATATATATATATACAAAAACCTTTAAGAAAATGAAGGTAAACACTTATTTTCATGAAAATAAAAAGAATTTTATAGAATATATATATATATATACAAAAACCTTTAAGAAAATGAAGGTAAACACTTATTTTCATGAAAATAAAAAAGAATTTTATAGAATATATATATATATATACAAAAACCTTTAAGAAAATGAAGGTAAACACTTATTTTCGCGAAAATAAAAAGAATTTTATAGAATATATATATATATATACAAAAACCTTTAAGAAAATGAAGATAAACACTTATTTTCGCGAAAATAAAAAGAATTTTATAAAATATATATATATATATACAAAAACCTTTAAGTAAATGAAGATAAACACTTATTTTCGCGAAAATAAAAAGAATTTTATAGAATATATATATATATATACAAAAACCTTTAAGAAAATGAAGGTAAACACTTATTTTCGCGAAAATAAAAGAATTTTATAGAATATATATATATATATATACAAAAACCTTTAAGAAAATGAAGGTAAACACTTATTTTCATGAAAATAAAAGAATTTTATAGAATATATATATATATATATATATATATACAAAAACCTTTAAGAAAATGAAGATAAACACTTATTTTCATGAAAATAAAAGAATTTTGTAGAATATATATATATATATACAAAAACCTTTAAGAAAATGAAGGTAAACACTTATTTTCGCGAAAATAAAAAGAATTTTATGGAATATATATATATATATATATATATATATATATATATATATACAAAAACTTTAAGAAAATGAAGGTAAACACTTATTTTCAAGTGAAAATAAAAAGAATTTTATAGAATATATATATATATACAAAAACCTTTAAGAAAATGAAGGTAAACACTTATTTTCGCGAAAATAAAAAAAAGAATTTTATAGAATATATATATATATATATATATATATACAAAAACCTTTAAGAAAATGAAGGTAAACACTTATTTTCATGAAAATAAAAAGAATTTTATAGAATATATATATATATATATATATATATATATATATACAAAAGCCTTTAAAAAATGAAGGTAAACACTTATTTTCGCGAAAATTAAACGAATTTTATAGAATATATATATATATATATATATATATATATACAAAAACCTTTAAGAAAATGAAGGTACACACTTATTTTCGCGAAAATAAAAATAATTTTATAGAATATATATATATATATATATATATATATATATATATACAAAAACCTTTAAGAAAATTAAGGTAAACACTTATTTTCGCGAAAATAAAAAGAATTTTATAGAATATATGTATATATATATATATACAAAAACCTTTAAGAAAATGAAGGTAAACACTTATTTTCGCGAAAATAAAAGAATTTTATGGAATATATACATATATATATATATATATACAAAAACCTTTAAGAAAATGAAGGTAAACACTTATTTTCGCGAAAATAAAAGAATTTTATAGAATATATATATATATATATATATATATATACAAAAACCTTTAAGAAAATGAAGGTAAACACTTATTTTCATGAAAATAAAAAGAATTTTATAGAATATATATATATATATCTATATACAAAAACCTTTAAGAAAATGAAGGTAAACACTTATTTTCGCGAAAATAAAAAGAATTTTATCGAATATATATATATATATATATATATATATACAAAAACCTTTAAGAAAATGAAGGTTAACACTTATTTTCATGAAAATAAAAGAATTTTATAGAATATATATATATATATATATATATATACAAAACCTTTTA